CACTAGATGTGAGTGAAGTGAATTCCACAATGAATCTCCAACTGCAGACCAACATACAGTATTTACTACCATATTTATGTAAATGGAGACATACTCATTATTATTCGTAAGTATACTACAACAGTAACTCAGCAAAATTTTTCTTAACACCATTAGCAAGAACCCATAAAATCTATCTACCTTTCTTTAAAGTCCCTGTTGTAATCCAGACATTAACAAACCAATATTGCAAGCTGCTTTAAAAACAGTTCCACCTTTGGCTTGTTTTATACCACATATGGTTGCAAAAGAACAAATGAAAACAAAATACTGCTGGTGAGGCAGAAAAAAAAGCAGACAAGATATGGTCAAATAAAATTCTCTATATGACCAATATAAAGAATCAAGGTGGAATGTCTCTTTGTGGGCAAGGTAAGTGACCTAGTGGATGTGGGAACTGGTGGTGAACTTGGTGACTGCTTGTTTATTGCTTTAAGTGTTGAGAGTAGATTCTTTTAAGTAGTCAAGGTGGATTTTTTTAAACAGTGATGTTCACCCTGCACGAGGCCCAAGAGGTAGATGGTTACAGTAAGAAGCATAGTTTATAGAGATATGTGGGAAAGATAATGGTTAGCCCAATATTTGAACAGGTTAAGACTATAGTGATCATGGAAGCATCCTGTTGGGAGCCAGTTCCACAAAGCAGTGATTCATGGGAAGAAGCTGCTCGAGTGGAACTTAAATTTCACCAATATGAAACAAATATGAACAAATAAGCACCCCCCCCAAGAAATGAATTGGTAGTTAGTTTCTAAGTCAACTGACACTAAAGCAGGCACTCCTCAAACACATTTATAGGCTATGCAGTAATGAAAAAAAAAAAAAACAGTTGCAATAGTTAGCATATATGCATTAGTATTATCAATTTTAGAATTTTACAATATTTTAAAAAATTGTTACTGATATAAATACATACAGGGTTCGATGGATAAATAGTCAACTAAATTATGCAAAAATGAAAATAACACTGACATCTCATTTTAACAGATATATTTACCAAAATTACACAAAAATATCTTGAGATACTAAAGAGTAAATTTATTTAATAAAATCTCCATTGGCTTTAACCATGGCCTCCAAACTTCAGAAACTCCTGTAGCTCTTTTGGACAGTCTCCTTGTTTAAATTGGTGAATGCACCCATAATTCTTGCTTTCAGTTTATCTTTGCTGTGATAAGGAGTTTTGTTGGTCTCTCACTCAACTGTGCCCCACACATAATAATCAAGGGAGTTGCAGTCTGGGGAGTTAGGTGGCCTGATGTAAAGGGAAATATGGCTGCAGAAATTGTCTGACAGCCATGACTGGGTTCTCTTGCTTGTGTGGCATGGTGCAGAGTCCTGTTGTCAAACATAAGGTTTTCCAGCAGCCACCCTCTTGACCCAGAGCAGCACTACCTCCTCAAAGCACTTTATGTAGACCTCCATGTTGAGTCTGAGGCCCTGTGGGAAGATGGATGGAGGCATAACATCACCATAATTAGTGATCACTCCAAACACATTTGTAATCCAACTTTTTCTGAATCCTCTGAACTGTCCTCAGATTGACACCCAAACACTCTGAAATGTTTGTACTGGAGCTTCTGGCATGAATGCCAACCAGTACAGCATGCCGTTTCCAAATCTCTGGTGGAATGAATTGCATCACGGTGCTCTTTTTCTCACAGACAGTGCCCAACTGACCCTACTATACTTTGCAGTCAGTACAATAAAAAAACATTGCATGTGCGCAAAATTAAAAATATAAAATGGCATCAATTTACCCATCACACTCTGTATATATTATATACAGTACATACCTAATTACACATGTACATACATATACACAAATATTTTTATGTATGCACACTGTATGTATTAACTTGCACACACAATCATACTCACTAGAAAAAAATTTAGTTAAAAAATTCAGTTAACTCATTCTTAAATTGCCCCAATTTGGGAAGCAATGGTTCAGACTAATACAAGACATTTCTAGAGCACATTGTAACAACTGATTTTATTCCAAAAGACCAGCATACTCTATGAGATAGGAATGTCTGCAGACATTTTTATTTTATTCAATTAATTTCCTCTAAATATTTCCTAAACCTAGTTAAGTTCAATCCTCACTGGATGCATCATGTTGATGAACTAAACTTGGTAAATAACAGATTAGCATGACACAAGACCAAATAAGGAGAAGAAACACTGTGTTAGATCAATCCTTCAAGTGAGGAAAAAGCCTTCCTGCATTGGATTAAAAAAAACAAAAAAAAACTCAATTTAAAATCTTAGCTTTTTTTTTTTAACTGCATTTGAACAACAGAAAATATACAAGACAGATTCAAATAATGGAAATACCTGTTGTACCTAATAACTTCAGTTTTTTCCCTTCTAAAAAGTCACTTTTATCTATAAAGTTTACTTTATTTTCGTTCTAACATTGTTCCCACTGATAGGAACCTTTGATTAGTAATCTGACTACCATCTCTTTGTAATTAATAAATAATAGTCAAAAGATGAAGGGAAAATGACTTTGTAAGGATGCAAAGGGTGATTATCTCCCTTTAGGTAAAATGAATACAGGAGGATTGTGTGATATCAGCTTATAGGAAGACAAACCTCAGTTGCTGTGGTATACTGCTAGATGTCATCAAACCTTACGGTGGAAGGGCAAACAGAGAAATCCACATGGTCCCAACAAGAACATAGATTAAACCACCAGCCTAGTCATTTTCCATTCGGGAAATATTGAAAGGTCCTCACCATTTTAATCCTACTTGTTGTATTCATGTCATAATTTCTCTCTGTAAGGGACAAATAGTGATATATATATATTACATATAATTTCTTGTATGACAAGAAATCACTGAGAATAATAAATGTTTGTCATTCCTTTCTTTCAGTTATTTTGTTTCTTCTCTTCATTGTGTTGTGTTCACAGATAAACTAATGCCTATAATGGGACAACTGGAAACGTTCTCTATTTCCTCAAATCTCCATGAAGCTTTTTGAATTTATTGTTGTCTTTCAAAGGAAGAAAAAAAATAACTACTGACCAAATGATGGCAAATTGTTCTGTTGAATGTAATTTTCCAAAAGAGTTCATTTGATAGTGAGTGATTTTAGTGACAATTTCAAGATATTTATTAGCCAAAGGGTTAAGACTAACAAAGTGCCAACAAGATAACTTCAAATCAGAGTTGAGTAATATTTGAAATTGAAAGTGCCTACACATAGAGAAGCATAAATGTATGGCGGTGTAGCCTGGGCATGGCCTGCTGTCTTTGGTCAGGATCGATCCTGGTATTGGAGAACAAGCCATCAGCCCACACACGTCAGTTGTTGATGGCGTTTGACACAGCAGCTGGTCTTTAAGTTAACCTCTTCAACCATGACCTCTTTTACCCACATTGTGATTTTTGATCTTAAGAGAGAGTCAAGCCAAATTATCACTGGGGTATCTCCACCAAGCTAAACCAAGGAGTTGATTACGCACACACAAAATTAAAAATAAAATGGACGACACCTGAATAAGTTAATATATGATGTTTATATCAAAATAAAAAAAAATATTTACAGTTCTTTTCTTTTACTTCTTTTCCCAACCTGTTCTAATATTTGGTGACGGAACAAAAATTTGGGGTAACTTCTTTAAGGGTGGCCAGACTTGACAACTATTTATCTTTAAGTAATGTGGTTCGTACTTTCTAGAATGACACAAGGTTTATCATTGGAGTCTTTCTTCAGCGACAACTGGATTTAACTTCAAGTATGGTTGTTTGTACTTTCAAGAACGGCACAAGGTTTATCGTCAGAGTCTTTCTTCTTCAGCAGATAATAATTATTATTATTATTATTATTATCATTAGGTTGGCAAAACAACATTATGGCAGAAATCTCTTAACTCTCAGTTGCAACTTCACTCCAAATGCAACTGTGGACCGCAACTAACTTTAGCCTTTGTGGGCACTTGTATTTATGGGTGTCCCTTCCAACTGGTGTGGTGTGGGTGAATATGTGGGTTTTATGCAAATCTCCTAAAATTCAACCAGTCTCTTTCTTTCATTTTCTGTTTCACACTTCCAATTTTGGAAGATCCCCTCCTCTTTTGGGAGGAGCCATTATATGATGTCAGCCTTCTTGACGTCATCATCTGCCTTTACAATTGCTCACAATTATAATTTTTTCTCAGGGAAATTTTGGTTGACAATTTTCCCAGTACATGGACATTGACACCTTTCAACAGGCAACCTTAACCTCTGGCCCCTAAACCTGCACCTGAGTGCTGTCTCTCTCCAGGCAGCGACAATAGCATTCTGTATATTTTGTTAACAAAATTCATACATCTGTTCCCAATGCCATGGGAAAATGAATCCCTTTCTGACAAAAAAAATAAAATCATTTTCTTAACCCTTTTCATCCGTACGCCATGTTAAATATTGTTACAAATGTATTTGCCAAATTTGTATGCTTATAGAATATAGTGTCCACTAGATTTATAAACATCAGTCTGTGACTTCAATAGGAAATGAGTGTCTAAATTGGAATTTACTGATGAAACACATTAGATTTTATTAACAAGTGCAATTGTTCACATAGATAATTTTATACAGTTTAATTTTTTTGTTGTTTTTAATCATTTCACCCCAAGCAAGGTGGTAACACCACTAAGATACAAGGAGCATGAATGAGAATGAGAATTTTGATTGATTCATTCATTTTCTACAACTTATCAACTATTTGCAGGTTATTTAATGCCAGAATTTTTAGATTGTAAGAATGTTTTTTGGAGATAATAATGATTTAGTGATACAAGTTTTACTAATTAACCCATAGCTGGAGGGAGAAGAAGTGGATTCATACTTTTCCCATGGGTATGTGTGTGTAAATGAATATAACAAACCCAATGGGAATTGAAACTCGCTCTCCGATTAACAATTCCGAGCCATTATCCATTACACCACCCACAACATCTAAACTTACAGTACCTGGTATTCCCAAGTGGTCCTCATTTAAGTACTGAAAAGGCTCAACGTTGCTTAACTTCAGTGATCTTAGGAAAACCAGTGTTTCAATGTGATGTGGCTGTAAGCCAGACAATAAGAAGACTTTAGTGAGGAGAAAGGACAATGAAAGAACAGGCTTTCAGTAAGACAGAAGCTGTCCATTAGCACATCATTTAAATCTTTGAAGATTGTAGGTGGCAGGGAAGTAAGACAACTGAAAAACAGTTCCACAGGTGAGAAAAGAAACTATTAGAATAGAACAGACAGTTAATTCTAGCTAGTGCAATAGTAAAATGGTGAGACTTAGTTGACAATCTAGTAGCATGCTTAAATTCATGCAGTTCAGGCATCAGGGAGGAAAGTTCATCAGGAGAAATTCCATGAAAATATTTGTAGAAAAGATAGAGGGAAGCCATGTCATGATGATAGGAAAGAGACAAGATGCCAGGTTAGGACTGATTACATTACACTCTTCTTTGAATTTTGTCAAGAATCTCGAGATATATGAAAAGCAGCACCAGACCTGATATGGCAGCAATATTCAATGCACAGGTGAATGGAAGATTTATAAATGAACAAGATAGATTCTGACAATTAGCTGAATTATAAATCTCTGTGCTTAAAATAAAACTACATTGTTTTTCACAGTTTATCAACATTTTGCTTGTTATTTAAAACCAGAAAATATTTTTAGATTGTAATAACCTTTCGTAGATAATGATTTGATTTACTGATACTAATTAACCTTTTCAAATTGAATTTGCACATAAATGAATATAGCAAACCCAACTGGAATTGGAACTCAGCTCTCTGATTTTCAATTCCAATTCACTATTCATTACACCACCTACATATCCAGGGTTACAGAACCTGGTATTCCCAAGAGGTCACCCACCTAGCTACTGACCAGGCTTGATGTTGCTTACCTTTGGTGATCATACGAGAACCAGTGTTTAAATATTATATGGCAAAACAAACCAACAATGTACTTTTCTTCATCTGTAATATCAAAAATGTCATTTAGATTAGTGTGTTATACCAAAATCCTATGTATTAAATACAAGTGTATAAGAAAAATAATTTGAAGTTATATACATGACTTCTTTTGCATTAGATTTTAATTACGAACCTCACCAATCCAGTTATTTATATAAATCAGGCAAGTCCACTCCTCTAAATATTTGAGTTGACCGCAGATATGCTATTTGATTTAGATGTATGACAGTTAAGTAATCAATAGAAATAAAATGGAGTGTTCGCTTATATATTCTGTCAGATTACTAGAGACTGCCATTCCTCTCAAAGACATTGAAAGTAGGATTATTTATGGCTCTCACCACAGAATATGACTAGCACTGTCAGTTGGCTTTCAAACAAGATCTAAGACAAATGATTCCCAAACCTAAAATGATATAGATTTCAGCAGTGGACAATCTTGTCATTTGAAAGTTTCCTTAAGTGTAGGCTAGTTGTATTAAATGCACAGCAAGAAAGAGTTCCTGTCGGACAGCCTTTTAGATTAGGCATTTACAAGTCTCCCATTTACAGGTTTGTTAATGAATTCAATCCTTAATGGATTTCCCACTATTGTGGCCTTTCACCAGAATACACTTCCTGCTTAATGAGAAGTAAAATGAGTGAAAAAATAATCTATAAGACCATTTTTACATAAACAAAAATAATGAAGGAGTCATTTTTTTAAAGATTACTAAAAGTGTTTTTTTCTGTACTTATCTCCAAAATTGTTGATTATCTGTCTATGTTTCTAAGATGAGGTATTATTTATATTATTCGGACTGTTGTCCTCATCTTTGTCGCCATATTTATTACAACGTTTCGGCCGTTGCATGCTCCTGCCTTCTTCAGGTGGTTGGCACAGTGGATAAAGGCATTGATTAGATCCAGTGACAGGACCCAAAGAGTGTGAGTTCAATACCTGGTTAAGGCAGTGGAGAACTATCAGAGGGAAATTAACAGGAGATAACTGATAACTGACATCCATTAAACATGGCATGTGGAACTAGAACAAAAGCGAAATAAAGGGTTCAGTTCAATATTCCAACCACCCAAAGAAGGCCGGAGCATACAATGGCCAAAATGTTGTAATAAATATGGTGACAAAGATGAGGACAATAGACCAAATAATGTAAATAAAATTGTTGATGTTAGTAAAGAACAACTCAACCACAAATTATTTAAAATACCAACTTAGTTCTGTTTTCTTTATACAAAAGGATAATAATAGTGACATATGTACAAAGATGTGGTCAAAAGAAGTTAGCAATTCTGTTTTAGGACATAATTTCAGATTGACCATTTCTTCCCTCTACACTGGTTTCTTGGTATTTATTTTTGTTCTCTTCCCTGTATCCACTTTGTCGTTCATTTTTCCTATCACAACTGTATAGTACGATGTACTGTGACAGAAGACCTCTCTCTCATCTCCATGTTAGTCTACTTATAATGGGGAATCACCAATCACTTACCCAGATGATAGACATACTAGACATACAGACACTTCAGAATGGAGCACTAACACACTTGGATTCTGTCCAACCTCACTAATATTATACACAGTTGCTAATGAACCAATTTCTTGTGGGACAATAAAGAAGAAGGGTCTCTTTTGACATAACAACGTACTTGTCTCCTCTCAAATCAAAGTCTTACATGCCAGACAAAGACAAACTCCCTTTCATCGAGAATAAGGCAAGTCCTGTTCACCATTTCTGCCACAAAAGAGATGCTGAAAAGTTCCTGATCTAGACAAGAGGAAATTAAAAAACAAATTTTTAGTCATATCGTTGAAATTTTACATTTAGAAAATATTTTATTAATATTCTATACTGCCTCCATCATTTGTATTGGGGTTGGAACAAAAGTTTATAGTGCTTTTCAGTAGGCGGCACTTGAAAACTATGACATATATACATATTCTGAAAGGTGACATTTCAATATGTCTTCTTATATGATTTGTATGCAGATTAAGAATTTTTAATGTTTATTTTAAAAGTGAAAATGGAAGAAAATGAGTTCTTTTTCATTATTTTGTTTCTCTTATTTCTGGAAAAGAAAAAACACTTTACAGTGTAAAAGATGTCATAAAGATGGTGCTATACTTGAGAGAACTGTTTGTAAGTATTTTGCTAGGTTCAAAAGTGGAAATTTTTATCAGGAAGACCAAGAATATCCTGACAGACTTACAGTTGTTGATGACAATATCTAAATGCTAATTAAAAATAATCCAAGTCACATAACATCACAAATATACTGCATATATCTTATATATAGCATTGCAAATCACATGAATTATGTTGATGTTTGGGTACCTTACACTTTAACAAAAGAAAGTTTAATGGATTGCATTTTCATGTGCAATTCTCTGTTCAAACACTACAGCAATAATATACATTTTAAAAGAAAAATCACAGGTGAAGAAAAATGGATTGTTTACAACAATGGTCCTTGGGAAGATAAAATAAGCCATAGTTAACCACTCCAAAAGCCATGCTATATATCTAGTGGAATCAGAAGGGCATTATGTATTACAAAGTCCACCTGCAAAATCAGATGTTCAATTCAAACAAGTATTGTTCTCGGATTCATTAAAGGCTGAAAATCAGTGAAAAGTGTTCAGAATTGTCCAATCAAAAAGGTATTGTCTTCCTTCAGGAACACTGCCATACATCATTTCTTGAACTGGCAGAATTGGTGCAGCTTGGCTGGAATGTCCTACTATATATGTCATATTCACCTGACCTTGCACCTTAAAATTAACATCTATTTTGATCCTTATAAGATTCTCTTAATGTGAAGAACTTCAGTTTTCTGAAAGCCTGTTAAAACCACAGAGCGGTCCATCACAAAGAAAGATGTCAAGTTCTGTGACTATAAAATAATGAAGCTGTCCCAGAACTGGTAAAAGGTATGGAACAAAATGGCACATTAGTGGTAGAATAAGCCTATGTACATATATCTAAATATTGTCTTTGAAATTCACTTAAGATCCACTAATCCATTTGTTCTAATCCAATATTTATGCATCTGGCTTTCAATATAAAAAATAAAAATTGAATATTCAAACTTTATATTGCAGAGAGAATTTAATTATTTCTGATTAAGCTCTTTGATATTCAAGATAAAAGTTTGAATTTATCTTGCAAAAGAATTCAAAAATTAATTCCAATAAGTAGTAAATATTTCATGATAACTTAAGAGATAAGCAAAAAGAAAAAAAGCTTTTAATATTCACATTTACTCAAATTGTATCCCCATGTATATATGATTGTTCTTTAGATAGATGCTAGTATAAAATGACATCAAAATATGTAAAGATTTTTTAAAGGTTGTCATAATCCAATGTCAACAAAAAACATGAGAAATGGAAAGAAATATAGATTTGACCCTCAACTACATCTGATAATCAAAGAGACATGGCATCCTATCTCTTTGTCTCTGGGGTTGCAACAGAAAACACCATCTGTCTATATTTCTGAGATGAGGTATTATGTACATTATTTACATTATTCAGACTATTGTCCTCATCTTTGTCGCCATATTTATCACAACATCTCGGTCGTTGTACACTCCAGCCTTCTTCAGGTGGTTGGAATGTCAAACTGAACCCTTTATTTCGCTCACTGGGATAGACTGTTCTAGTTCCACTTGCAATGTTTAATGGATGTCAGTTATCAGTTATCTCCTGTTAATTTCCATCTGAAAGTTCTCCACTGCTTTAACCGGATATTGAACTCACACTCTTTGGGTCCTATCACTGGATCTAACTAACGCCTTTATCCACTGTGCCATGACACAGTCTACCCCAGTGAGCAAAATAAAGGATTCAGGTCAACATTCTAACCACCTGAAGAAGGCTGGAGCGTACAACGGCCAAGACGTTGTGATAAATATGGCAACAAAGATGAGGACAATAGTCCGAATAATGTAAATAATGTAGAAAACACCATGTCCTTTTTTGATTACATTAATCAAGCAATGGTGTTATGTCTAAGCAGTGATCAAATGCCAGTTGCATTAAATATAAAATCATCTGATGATTGTATTTCTCATAAAATTAAATGAATGCATTATTACAGCAACCAAATATGATCACATACAATTGCAAAAAACATACATGTCCAAAACTGGACAGAAAAAAAAATTGCAATGATGCATTTTGCTTTCTGGATATTTTATTCCCCCAAGCCACTCAGTATGGCTTTTGTCATTTTTTTTTAACCTATTTCTCAAATATGCCATTACATTCGGTGGTTACAGTAATGGACAGGCAATCATAAGGACTATACTTCCAAAACCAGATTAAGGTTTCTGGCAAAAAGTTCAGAAGGTAAACTAAAATAAAATAGGTTTATCTCTTTATTTATTCAGTGGTAAAGTATCCTTTTTTATCTTATTTTATTCAGTGAAGTTAGCTTGGACATTCACGAGTCTATCACAACAACCATCATGGTTCTGCATCAAGGTCAGAAAGTCATTAGGTTGGCATTCTTTGTCATAACATATCTGGTCAATGTAGGTGATTGCTGAGCAACTAGTCTATCTTGTACCATGGCTAGGTGTCCAGAACAGATTACTTGCAAGTTTTTTTGTTTGCTCACCACTCAAGGGTTTTAGTTAATGTCCAAGCAGCAGCACCATACATTAAAACTGCCTTTATAATAGCGTGGAAGAATCTGTTTGAGGTTGTCTGGAAGAACAGATTTCCAAATTACATCCATTTTATTCAAAAGTCCAAGCTTAAGCTATGCAAATTTTTCACATCCTTCTCAATAGAATTTATTTCACCTCCTTAGGTATATAAAAGATTTGACAGATTTTATTGATTCACCTGAGACAGTACAAACTGTAAAATATTTAAATATACAAAAAGTTACATGAAATGCATTATTCATTCTTTTTCTCTTTTAAATTATTTCACCCCCAACCAAGGCAATAAAT